GGGATCCGAACCCTCGGACGGGAGCGCCGCCGCGCTTCCCAAGCGGCGCACTATCCAGTGCGCCACCGGGCCGGCCCTCTTTTGAGGTTCCTAGAAGGAACCTTTGGTTAATTTTACACTGAGCAGTTAAAATTTTTGATATTTACCTCAGTGCAGGCTGGCATATGCTAATTTGAGGGTGGTATCCAACAAATTTTACCTCATTTAAGCATTACATTTTTGAAAGTGAATATACTTGGTGACAGATCAAGCACATTTGTGTCATGCACTGATCACTTCTTGTAGCCCAAACCCTTACAGGGCTGCCTACAAGGATCACTGTAATGGAATTTATGCTCTCAAGAATTCCTGTATTATTTCATTCATCCCGTGATTCATTCATTCAACAAGCTTTTATTTCATAAACTGTGCACCCAGCACTGCAGTAAGTACCAAAATTTGAGTAGAAATAATGGCTTTTGATAATCATGTGAGGCACAGATATACATTTTCCCTTATTAAGTTCCTCACTGATAAGAAGGCCTCTTTTTTTGGTAAGTGTCACTCTTTTTGTTTAGGGATGTCTACTTTTCCATGAAATTAAATAGCGGTTTAAGCCCTGAAAGAGTCAAGATGATAGTGGGCTGAAACTGTTGGTACAGCAACCCCAAGAGAGTGTTTCATTTCCTTTTTACAGCACACTCAGGTCCATGTCTTTTGTAGTTTCCTTCATATCTTCAGAGTAGTTATGACTTGTCAGTTTTTCCCCCTTAAACTAGATTGCCTTTCTCTTTTCCTGACCTGCTATCAGGTATCAGTGTTTTGAAAACATACTGCTTATGTATCAGACTTACATTATTGTTATTAACATGAAAAGAATTATAGCCTTGTGCCGCATGACCTCCTTCAGCTCAGTTGTTGACTGTGTTATTCACAGATGCCTAAAGCATCCATAAATCTCAGGTATAAGCCTCAGGATTAAGGATTAGTCAACAAAACAAAAGCAATGTAATGGTAACTATATCTAGCAAAGTAGCAGTTTGTGACACATTTTTATTTTTTAAAAAATAATTCTTTCTCATGCCTGTAGTCCCAGCTACTCGGGAGGCTGAGGTTGGAGGATCGCTTGAGCCCAGGAGTTCTGGGGTATAGTGCACTATGCCGATCAGGTATCCGCACTAAGTTTGGCATCAGTATGGTGACCTCCTGGGAGTGGGGGACCACCAGGTTGCCTAAGGAGGAATAAACCAGCCCAGGTTGGATACAGTGTGGGTCAAAACTCCCATACCGTTTGGTAGTTATGGGATCATGCCTGTGAATAGTCACTTCACTCCAGCCTGTGCAACATAGCAAGACCCCCTCTCCATTAAAAAAAGAAAAAGTTTAAAAATATAGACCCACACCTGTGCTTTTTCAGGGTTTTTTACAGACAGCCTGTGTTATAATCACTGTGTTATAACAGGATGATGTATGTGTGCTCACTTCCAATGACTTTTCCATGTGAGCTCCTTCAAAGGTGTGTGCATCCACTCCAGTTGTTTTCAGACTAAATCAACCTGGAAGCTTAGTATAGCACTTCAAATTATATATTACTTAGTATAGCACTTCAAATTATATATTAAAATCTTGTTTTAAGATAAATATGTAAAATAGACTGTACACACAACAAAAACTACCAGTATTTCTTTGACAAAAGTATTTGGCATGTTTGAAGTCTACTTCTTGAAATAAACAAGGTAATTTCTTTTTTTTTTTTTTTTTTAAAGATGACCAGTAAGGGGATGTTAACCCTTGACTTGGTGTTGTCAGCACCACGCTCTCCCAGTGAGCTAACTGGCCATCCTTATATGGGATCCGAACCCGTGGCCTTGGTGTTATCAGCACCACACTCTCCCAAGCTGGCCCTAAACAAGGTAATTTCTTATCCTGATAGGCTGAGAAGGTTTTGGGTTTTGATTTGTTTTAAATTAGGTCTCTTGAGTAAAATGCATATTTCAAAAATTAGAATTAATGCCCAGGTCTCATTTTCTTCCATGGTGGGAATGGCAGGTGGTGAGAGAAAAGTGGATCTGATAGTAGAACGAACCAGAAGGCAGGTAAAAAATGAGATTATTTTTTATTGAGGTGTAGCCCTGAGTTCATTTTTGCTTTCTCTGACCTGAATCATATTATCTTCATATTAAATAAAATCATGTTCTAGTCTGTTTAAAATTATTGGTATAACCCTACAGATCTCAAGTAAGACAAATTAAACTAGTTCAGTGCCAAGTTTTAGTGCTTTCAAAGAGAAAGGCATATATTCCTTTGACCAATTAAACATGCCACTGAATATATAAACCAATTGTTTTAAACCACTAGTCTAGTTTCGTAACATTTCTACTTGTCAGCAACCTTTCTTCCCTACATTATATTATTAAATAAATTTTACTACAACATTAATGACTAGCAGAGTAGAGAAAACATGGACTTTGGAGTCAGACAGACATGAGTCAGAGTTCAAACTCACTAACTGCTATAAACTTGGGCAAGATATTTAACCCTGTCAGAGCCTAAGTTTACTCAGTAGAATGTGGGAAATAATGCCTACTTGTTAAGATTGGAGTATTAAATTAGATAATGTAAAGCACCTCACACAGTACCAGGCAGTTAGTAGACATTCGGTAAAAGGTGTTACTGGATGGCATTTCCAATTTGATGATACTTTAGATGCTTATGTGCTATACTGTTTAAAAACCAGTTGGAAAAACCACCTCAGATTATCTATAAGGTGGGGATAATACTTCCTTTAGAGTATGGCTATGAAGTTTAATTTAGATGGGAAACATGTAACATGCTTATTATAATAGACACTATATGTCATGCCAGTCTTTTCATATAGACAGTCATTTACAGATACTATCTGATTTAATCCTTTTTAACATCCCAATAAAGTAGTTACTATTATTATCCCCACTTTACAGGAAAGAAAACCAAGGCTTAGAGCATTACAACTTGCCCACTCTATCACCTATTCAGTTTACAGGTGAAGCTGAGGCCAAAAAAAAAAAGTTGAAATTGATTTGTCTGAATTCAGTTTAGTGACAGGGACAGCCCTAGAACCTAATTTTTTAAGGGACTGTGAGGTACTGAAATGTCCACCTGTTAAGTGTAGTATATTCATACCTAAATTCCAGATTTGTTTCCCCTTTCACATTAGCAAGCTGTACTTATTTCCTCTAAAGCTTAGAAGTAAAGAGGTTGACTAGTGAGGGAAAGTCTAAGGAAAAAAAAATGTGAAAAAAAGAGGCAAGAAGCAGAATACACAATGCGGTTCCAGTGTTGCCACCACTGACACTGGACCTGAGTGTCTGAGGGGGCAACACAAGAGTTTGGGCTTCAGCAAGGCGGCTCTTACTGTGTCCCAAGAACACTGGCACAGAGACGATTTACAGTAGGGCTTTGGGCCAGGCCTGCCTGGGGCTCAGGAGACAGTGGTTTGTTGCTCTCCAGCATTGCTTTGCTCCTGGAGCTTATGGCTGACTGCCTGCAATCCCCAGGGTTCTCTTTGCAAATCCCCTGCTCAATACCTAACCCTGCCCTCCTTAAATCCTTACTATTGTTATTTCAAGCTATCATTTCTCTCTATGGATTCTTAATCCTCTTTAAAATAATATATTTATACCTTAATAGCTCAGCGGTATTTATAGGGCAGGTCATGGACAACTGGCCCACATGAAAAACCAATCAAATTTTAGATTCCTCTGCCAGAGGCTAAATCAAGTTATGTTTCATTCTTACAATTCCTTAACTTGAGCACAGGTACTGTCCTTTTAATCCCTCCTCAATGTCGCTTAAATATCAATAAACCTTTTTTTATGGAAATATTTGTATTATGTTTTTAATTCTATTTTTCTGCACTTTTTTTTTTTACAGATTTTTATTAAAATATAATTGTGTATATTTGTGGGGTACAAATTTGAATATCAATACATGTGTATAATATGGCCGGTTAGCTCAGTTTGTTAGAGCGTGGTGCTGATAACATCAAGGCTCAAGGTTCAATCCCTGTGGCCAGCCACAAAAATAAGTTAATTAATTAACCTTAAGAGATGGACAGGAACAACACCACCTTCACCCCCAGCCAGTTAAGATGCTGCTGTTGGAGCTGCAGCAGCAGGTGGGCCCATGTTATCTTAAGGTGTGTTGAGATGGAAAAATTGTCAGAAGTCACTGGGCTAAGTGATCTTCAAGGCCTCTTCCAGTTCTATAATCCCAGTATCTTTCTTACTTCAACAAATATCTGCTAATCTGGGCACTCTCAAAGGAGCTAAAGAGTTGTAGAGTAGAATAACATCTCACATTAACTCAGCACTGACTGCATGCACGCTAGGCACTTGGCTTGCTTACTTAACAAGTGTTGGAGTTCTTTGTATGTACCAAGCACTGTTCTAAACACTAGGAATTCTGTAGTGTACATGGTGAGGTCCTTTTCCTCAAAGATCTTAAACTCTAGTGAGGAAGACATAATAAATGGAGGAAAGTAAGATAGTTTAAGATGCAGTTCAGCACTGTGAAGAAAATAGAATAGGATAATATCAGCATTACTTGAGTGGCTACCTGAGTTGGGGAGAGGGGGAGAGAGCGTTGAGAAGGAGGCAGCCATGTGAAGATCTGGAGGAAGAGCAATCCAAGCAGGAGGAACAGTAACTGCAAAGACCCTAATTCTAGAATGAGCTTAGTGTGTTTGCAGAGGTGAGTAGAGAGACATGAACACAGGAGTAGGCAGGGCTAGATCATGTAAGCATCACAGACATGGGAAGGAATGTGGGTTTTGTTCTCAGTGAAAATGGGAAGCTATAGGAGGGTTTTGAGCAGGAGGGTGTCAGGGTCTGATTTATGCTTTAGAACAGGCAACTCTTGCTGCAGGGTAAAAGAGGGGAGGAAAAAGAGGAAGGGAGACCAGTTAGGGATCTGCTGCAGTGGATCTACAGTTGAGGTGATGCTGGCCTGGACTAGAGTTGCAGTAATGGAGGTGACAAGAAGTGGCTGGATTCAGAATACGGTGTGGAGGTAGAGCTGACAGAATGACCTATTAATAGATTGAAATGAGATCTGCAGGAAAGTGGATTCAAGGATGATTCCTAGTTTTTGGCCTAAGCGACTAGATAAATGGTAATACCATTACTGAGGTGGGGAAGAGTTGAGGAGGAGGGACTTGGGAAGGAAATAGATAGTTTGGTTTTAGCCTTGCTAAGTTTGCAATCTGTGTATAGGTGTCCGGCAGGCAATGAATACATGCATCTGGAGTTCTAGGGAGAAGTCTAGGCTGAAGATATAAATTAGAAACCTTTCAGCCTATAAATGGTGGGTAATGTCATGAGAATGAATGAGATCATCTAGCAGGAGAGTGTAGGAAGACAGAAGAATACTGAGGACAAGCCTGGGAAGCCCCAAGCATTTAAAGATTTGCTAAAAAGGAGGAGGTGCTAGCAAAGGAGATGAGCAATCTGTGAGGTTGGAGGGAAATCAGAAGAATGTGGGCCCTTGAAACCTAGAGTGTCTGGAGAAAGAATTCAGTTTGGTGAACTGTGATAAATCTGTGTCAGGTTGAGTAAGAAAAGTAAATCACTAGTGACCGCTACAGAGGCCTTTTCCATGGAGTGATAGGCTTGAACGTCCAATTGGAGTAAGGTGAGAAGAGAATAAGAAATAAAGAGAATGCAAAACAGGTTTAAGAATGTTCCAGTTATCTATTGCTACCTTAGAAAACACCCAAAATTTAGTAGCTTAAAACAGTGACGTTTACTTTGCACACAGATCTGTAGTTTGGTCAGGGCTCTGTGGGATATCTGCAGGGTGGCTCAGAGGCTGGGGCTGGAACCATCTGAAGGCTCACACACTCACTCCCCCACACGTCTGGGCTAGAGACTGGTTGTCAGCTGAGACCTTAACTGGGGCTGTCAGCTGGAACTCCTCCATGTGCTCCAGGCTGCCTGACAACTTGGTGGCTGGGTTCCAAGGGCAAGTCCTGAGAGAGAGGTGGAAACCTTTCACTTTTGATGACCTAGCCCTGGAAGTCACATAATGTCATTGTGTGTATGCTCTTGAATGAGGTGGTCACAAAGTCTCATCCAAGTTGAAGAGAAGGATAAATAGACTCCTCCCTTGATGGGAGGAACAGGTGGGACCAGAACTATAGTTGTGCCACTTTTGGAAAATACATCTGCTGCCAGGGGTTTTGTTGTCAGGGGGTGAAAATTAGGACAGTAGCTGGAGGGGAATGTGGGCAGGGCCAACTTATCCAGTCAGCACAGGGCCTCAGAATCCACAATATTTTTAATTTCCTTTTTTTTCCCTTTTTTTCCCCCTAGTCATTTGGTTCAGGATATTTTTAATTTCTTTAAAAATCAGAATAAAAAATGAGTATAATCCAGACTAGATTGTGTTTATTTTTATACCAATAAGCAATAAAATATCATTTTAAACATTTACTTATTTAATATTTATTCAGTATATTATGAGCCATGAAGGCAAAATGTATAGGGCTGCCCATAAAAGTCATAATGTGGCCCTGAATGGGGGGTCAAGGAAGGGTTTTTGTTTTGCTTTGTTTGTTTTAATAAAGGGATATTAAAGCACATCTGAATGCTGATGGGAATGATCGGTTAAAGAGGGATAAATTGAGGCTGCAGAAGAGAAAGGGACTAACTGTGGGAATGAAGTCCTTGAGCAGACAAAGAGAGATGTGAGCTGACAGGTGAAGTGGGAAGGGGTCGAGGCTTCCACTGAAACTGGAATGAGATGGGGGCACAGATGCAAAGAAGTTGGTAAGCGCTGCAGTGGGAGGACAAGTTGTTTCTGGTCCATCTGATTCTATGAAGTATGTGGCGAGGTCATCGGCTGAACATGGGAGTGAGTGGAGGGATTGAGGGCAGGAAGCTCTGTGGAATAGTCACCTTGGAGAGTGGGGTAGTGAATTCAGCAGGTAAGAGTGTGTCGCAGGATTCCCGGCATTATTGGAACTGAGTGCAACCAGCATGATTTTATGATTTTCTCCAGCAATGTGCAGCCTCCTGGGCGCAGGTGAGGTGTTAGTGCATAGTTAGTGGATAGCTTTGACTAGGATCAGGTTTTGCCAAGTGAGTAGTTAGAGGAAAAGAGGGACAAAAGTCAAGGTCATGGCAAGAAAATGGCAAGAGTGCCAGGCTATAGACTAATAAGGAGGAAAGCACGGACATGAGCGAGGTGACAGATGTTTAAAAACAGATCAACAGCTTGGAAATCTCAATAAAGTTGGTGAATTATTGGACTGAAGTTGTTACAGTAAGTGAGCTGGAAGGAGGGGAGTGCTGGTGAGAGAGGGCAACGTTTGAATGTTTCAGAGGTAGTAGAGAAATCAGGGACAGCAAGGCCTAGGGTAGTGATTCTCAAACTTTCCTGTGCATTAGAAGCACCCGAAAGGCTAGTTAAAATACAGATTGCAGGCCCCCACCCCCAAAGTTCCTGGTCAGTAAGTCTGAGGTGGGGCCTGAGAATTTCCATTTCTAACAAGCCTCCAGATGCTGCAGCTGTTGGTCCAGGGACTACAAGTGAATGGAGGCTGAGGTGGGGTGGAAGAAATGCTTTGGAATTGAGGAGACTAAGGACCCTTGAGGTCAGAATGTGGGGTGGGTTGGTTATCCACTTGGATGTTGAAGTCACTGAAATGGTGCTTTGAGACAAGTGGTAAAGTCAACAGGGAATGACTGAACGAGGAAGACTAAATGGGGATAGAGTTGGACATGTCTTCAAGGGACTGGCACTTTTGGAGGAGAAAAGAGAAAGGCCATTTGGAGGTAATGGTGAGGGGCAAGGAAGACACTAGCCCTACTCTCTAGACCTTGAGGTATGTGGGACACGGGAGGAAAACCCACGAGTACTTGAAAGGCTGACAGAAATAGGGTTTCTACTTCAGAAATGGCAAGAAAATTAAGAACTGTGAGAGATTGGGGTGTCTGGAGGCAAGGAGCAGTGAGAGAGGAGGTTGGGCCTGGAGACATACCAAACAATTCAGAATGAACATCTGATGGGAGATGAGCAGTGTCACCCCTGAGATGAAGGGCAGATTTGCTGGATCTACTGCCCCTGAAGTCTTCTAGAAAAATCAGTGCTCCAGGTCTTCTGATTTCTTGGAGTTGTCATTTTTGTATTACATTAGAATAAACATGAATATTCAATGATTCAAAAGCAAATTTTCATGACATTTAATATAAAAGTAAGAGCCTTCAAACATATTTTAAGCCATGCACCCAGATCCTTCTCCCAAGTTAGTGCTTTGGAGGAAATGGGAGAAAAGCACTATCTTGTAGGTCCTGGGTGAAGGTTTGGAGAGAGGCCTTTGTACTTTAAATTGGAAAAGGAAAACTTCCAAGACTCAAAGGTGTGATCTGTAAGGGAGCTTAAGTCACTACTGGGGACAGAGTTGCTCACACAGAGCCCTTCCCATCACACACTCTCCTGCTTATCACTAGACCATGTGGAGGGGTGAGCCTCAGATCACCAGAGGATTCTATGTTATAGGCTAGGAGTTGGTCTCGCTTCCTCCTGAACTTGAGTCTCTAAGAGGGGCTCCTGTGGAGCAGCATTGTGCCCAACTAAAGGGACAGGGAGTACGTGTGAGATGGGAGGGTCCCTGCTTGTCTCCCCAACTCTCCTTCACTCCACCTCCCTCAGCCTACCTCTCTGTTTCTTCCCCTTCTCCTTTTCAGAGTCTGCAGGTCTGGCTTGTTTGCCAAGGGTAAGGGGAAGAGTGAGGCTGGGGGAGCTTAGTGGGCTGGAGGTCAGACCTTCCAGAGGAATCTTCTAACAGTCTTAGGGCAGCTTAGCCAGCCTGGACACACCCCCTTGCTCCCCACACTGCCAATCATGCTCAGTTGTCCAGAAGATGATGAAGAGGCTGGTCAAGCAGAGGAAAGGAAGGAAGAGGGCCTTAGCCTAAGGAATCCATACGCAGAGGCTTGGGGGGAGACACAGACCCTTGCTCCCGCTTGGGGCCAGGATGGGGCAGCAGTTCAGCTGGGAGGAGGCCGAGGCAAGTTGCGAGATGGACGTGGCAGAGCTGCAGGAGTGGTACAAGAAGTTCGTGGTGGAGTGCCCCAGCGGCACACTCTTCATGCATGAGTTTAAGCGCTTCTTCAAGGTCACGGGCAACGAGGAGGCCACCCAGTATGTAGAGGGCATGTTCCGAGCCTTCGACAAGAATGGGGTAAGGCACCCCAAAGGCGAGCAGCAGAGGCCAGCCCACCTGGCTCACTCCTCATCCCTGAGCCAAGGGAGCGTCCTCAGGGAGAGCTCCAGTTCTCCAGGCCTCCTGCTGTTCCCTCTGCTCTTCGCTCCTCTCCATCTCCCCTTCCCTCCCTCCATGTCTCAGCTTTTGACTCATGCTCTCTGTTTCCTCTTCCTGAAAGCTGAGGGGAGGCCATCTGAAAGTCCAGGTCCTCTCTTTGTGTATTTTTGGCCAAGGCTCTGCAAGCCCAAGGACCTGGTTTTTCACACCCACCAGAGCCCCTGTCACTCTAAACACAAGGAGTTAAAGAGATGTCCCAGGTGAGACAAGCTGTATTAGCATAGACAATGAGCTTTCCCTTGTTGAGCTGAGATTGGTTAGGTCTTCCCTGTAAGAATGCTGGGGAGGTTCCTAAACCAACCCGGAGATTGGATCCATTATTGCAAAAGTCCCTTTCAATTCTTCAAGTCATGGAAGATAAAAATCATTTAAACCACAGGGTCTCTTTAAGCCCTCCAATGGCACTTGCAGTTAAGAAAGTTATAAATTTTGTAAATGTACACCTGTGAATTGAATTTAAATGTTCAATTCAATTAAAAAACCCTTGATTGTTTAAGGTTATACAGTCCAGTGCCCCTGCAATCCTTTAAACCATTAGGTTTGCCTCAAATACCTATTTCAGTCCCCCAGACTGAAAGTGGTGTGTTGGACCTAAGTAATTAATCTGGAGAAAGTGTTAGTACTCCACTCCTTGGTGTGTGGAGAATTTCCCTTTCTAGGCTGAATCGCTGGGTATGCCTCCTCAGGTTTGACCCTGTCCCTGGTACAGATCGATACACATCCCCTCATTGACCCAGGGCCAGGAGGGCAGGGTCAGGATCTCCCGTGCAACAGAACCGCCCTTGGAGATGACCTGTCAGCCACTCCCCTGGCACAGAGCCAGATTCCGACTTCTCAGGGTTCCCTGAGTCAGCAGCAACCCTGTGAGGGAGCGTGGAGACTGTGTTACCCCAAATTGAATGTTGAGAAAACTGAGGCAAAAGGAAGTGGATTGATTGGCTCCAGGCCATATACTTAGGGTTTCTGACTCCTAGTCAAGTACCACTGCCTAGAAGGCAGAGGGTTTTTTTAAGAAAGAAAATGATTTTTTTTTTTTTTTAAGTAGCTGTCTGGTTAGTTCAGTTGGTTAGAGTGTGGTGCTGATAACACCAAGGTCCAGGGTTCAACTCTTGTACTGGCCAGAAAGAAAAAAACGTATTGAACTTCATAAAAAAGTAAATAAATATATCAGGTGATATATGACAAGACTCACTATTATAAACATATTAGTCTTCCCATATTCCTATAAAAATTCAGTACAATAACAATTCAAGATCTAAAAGGGATTAGTAAAACCCTGGGCATTATATAGTTGTATCCCTTATAACTCATCTCTTCTTTTTTTTTTTTTTTTACTGACCGGTAACGGGATCGCAACCCTCAGTGTTGCGCCCGCACTGCGCTCA